ATAAACTCCCTACTATGAGCCGGGCGGTGGTGGCGCACGCCTTTAATCCCAGCACTTGGGAGGCAGAGGCAGGCGGATCTCTGTGAGTTCGAGACCAGCCTGGTCTACAAGAGCTAGTGCCAGGACAGGCTCCAAAACCACAGAGAAACCCTGTCTCGAAAAACCAAAAAAAAAAAAAACAAAAAAACAAAAAACTCCCTACTATGTTCATAAGGTCATCTTAAGGATGGAATGAAAGGACCATGAAAAACTTGGAGCATACTTAGCTCAAACACATCCACTTCTACTGTTATTATTCACATCCAATACCTTTCTTTGGGGGGGGGTGTTGAGAGTACAGGTTGCTGATAGGGTCTCACTCCGCAGTTCTGGCTGGCCTCGAACTCAAAGAGCTGCCTGCTTTTGACTTGAGTCCTGGGTTGAAGGCATACACCAACATGCTGGACTTGATGTTTAAAATCTTTATTTTATGTATGTGAGTGTTTTGCTTACATGTATATTTGTGTACCACTTGCATGCCTGCTACCACCGAGGACAGAGAGGGTGTCAGATCCCTTAGAACTGGAGTTAACAGATGTTTGAGACCCACCATGTGGGTGCTGGGAATTGAACCCGGGCGCTCTTAAAGCTGAGCCATCTCCCAGCCCCTCTGATGCTGTTTTTAACTTAAGGAAAGTATTTATTGAATCTAATTCTAGTAGAATAAAAATATTTCTTCCTTTTGAGTCATGAGAGGGGGAATGTTTTAAAATTATAAATTTATAAGAACACTGAAAAGCACACGCATCAGTAAGAAGTCTGTCAGTTTCAAAAGATAACTGTATTTTAAGCCTATTGTTTCTGGGTCCTCAGGCAGCTGCAAATGCCCCATATATTATATTATATAACCCACTTCCATTTTCTATGGAAAAGAAAAATGAGGCCCAGATCCAATGCTATGTTCTAATGTTAGGCAAATCTCAGCTTAAATAGGGTTCCACCACTCTCTGAGCCTCTGGCATTTCAACCATAATCTAGAGATGACATCCACCTCATCAGGATAGGCCAAGGACAGATGAGCAGGAAAGGCTGCCCTGGGAAAGAAAAGGGGGAAGAGTGAGAGCAACTCACATGGGCGCCTGGGTGCCATCGAAACTGCCGCTGAGTGCCAAGGATGTTCCCAGCATGAACATAGTGACCTAAAAGAAAAGTCCACAGAGGAGCTGACTCAGCACCAGTGATCCCAGAAGCACAGCAAAATGCTGAGAAATCATGACACTGCAAGGGCTGTCACTAACCCCACCAAGCCTGCTCCTTGAAAACACCTCCAAGATGGGCCTACATAAATAGCAAGACACACACACGCACACACGCATGCATGCACACGCTACCCAGCAGTCTCTTTTTGGTTGCATGGCTAGGAAACCAGAACTCTGTGGGGCCCGAACCCCTCCCTAGATCTCATCTACCCCTTCAATGGGGAGCCCATGCAACTGTGAACTGTGAGGGTACACGCGAGGCACCGCACGGCAGTTCCGCTCTTCTAAGAAAGCGCAGGGCAGCATCCATGGGATGCAGCTGGAAAACAGAAACAAAGGCACACCCTCACCTTCTATTTTCTTGATGCCATAGTGTTTGCCTCGCGATTTCCCGCCCAAGTTCTTGGAGCTGCCACCTGTCTTCTTGGACGCATATCTGACTGCAAGAGCTGCAGCTGTCTTGGGGCTGAAAAGGGCTGTAAATTCAGAGCAAACAGAAACACTGCTGAGGGGCTCCAAACAGGATGCGCTTTCTTTGCCTCTGTGGATCATGTGCTAAGCTGAGAGTTGAAAGATGTGCGACGGGAACAGGAATGCTAAGGTCAGTGTATGATGCTCAGAGAATGCAGGGCAGGGAGCAATTCATGCCTGGAATAGATAGGTAAGTGTGGTGTGGTGTGGTGTGGTGTGGTGTGGTGTGGTGTGGTGTGGTGTGGTGTGGTGTGGTGTGGTGTGGTGTGGTGTGTGTGTGTGTGTGTGTGTGTGTGTGTGTGTGTGTGGAAGGGCAGGCAATGAGCATAAATGGAGAAAGAAATAAACATCGTGTGCTGTTGGACACAGAAAAAGAAGTGGACACCAGAGAGCCGCCTGCTTCAAAATTCAATCTCAGCTGGGTGGCAGCGGCACATGACTTTAATCCCAGCACTTGGGAGGCAGAGGTAGGTGGATCTCTGTGAGTTCGAGGCCAGCCTGGTCTACAGAGGGGGTTAGTTCCAGGACATCCAGGACTGTTTCATAGAGAATCCCTGTCTTAGAAAAACAAAACAAAACAAAATTCAGTCTCATGCCCTAGGGAAGGGCCAGATCACGGGGCAGGCAAAGGGGCTTTTGCTTCAGCGCCACTGACCACTTTCTTAGCTAGCCACTCACCCACTGACCACTTCTCAACTGTACACCAGGACAGCAGCCTGCCAGGGTGCCTCTGACAGGAGGTGGGGCATTTCAGAAAGGTCACATGTTCAACCTAGCTCAGCACTAATCCGACCTCTCCCCTTATCCCCACGTGCCTAATGACGTTTATTTTAAAAGGCAAATGATGTGGGAGGAGTTGGAAGGGGTAGATATGGTCAAAATACATTATATATATATATATGAATAAAATTCTCAAAGAACAAAAACACTTCTAAAAGAACATTATCTAAAATGTGTACTAATGGGGCTGGAGAGGTGACTCAGAGGTAAACAGCACTGACTGCTCTTGCAGAGGACCTCAATTCAATTTCTTTCCCTCATGCAGTGGCTCACAACCATCTGTAACTCCAGTTCCAGGGGATCCGATGTCTTTTTCTGACCTCTGTGGGTACCAGGCGCACAGCATGGTGCACATACATCACACAGGCAAAACACTCACACATAAACTGCAAGCTATCACCGGGCGGTGGTGACAAAAGCCTTTAATCCCAGCACTCAGGAGGCAGAGGCAGGCGGATCTCTGAGTTCGAGGCCAGCCTGGTCTACAGAGCTAGTTCCAGGACAGGAACCAAAAAGCTGTGGAGA